GAAAAAAAAAAGATATATGCAAGCATGCATATACCAATGTGTATGTGTATCCTTACACATACTTATTTTGAAAATTTTCAAAAAAAAATATTAACAACATTAAAGGGGGGAATTTAAGGTCTTTTCGACCGATGCCCAAAAGGAGGATGCGTTTCAGAGCACTGTCAAGGCTTCACATTTTATAAAATACACACAAGTGGGGGGAAAAAAAAAAAAAAAAATACGCATAAGGGTGATATAAAGCAAATTTGTCTTTTTTTTTTTTTTTTTTTTTTTTTTTTTAAGCCCGCTCTTTTCATGCCTACAGTTTAAACTTATACGAGGTGACCAATCAGCTGAGTCGGAGAAAAAAACAACAAAAAAAAAAAAAATAAAATAAAATAAAATAAAGGGGTTAATTTTGGTATTAATTGGGAATGTCAATACAAATGAGAAAATTTTTTTTTTTCTATTGTCTTTCTCCTTGACTGCTGCACATAAATGAGTTATCATTTTTGCGACTTTTATTTTGCCCTATTTCGCCGTTGACTGTGCATGTCGGGGTAAAATTCCTTTCTCCTTTTTCGCCCATTTAGACAGCCCACGTGAGTGATGGGTGGGTGGGGGAAAAAAGCAACCCCTGGGTGAACGTTTAAGGGTTACTTTTTCGAGGCGAGTCAAGAATGCTCTTTCCTCTGAAGGGGCGTCATTTAAGCGGCAACGATTGACATGGACGTGCATTTGCATGGACGTGTATGCGCGTAGACTTGCCCTCCCGTGTGCCTCCCTTTTTTAGCGCAGAGAACGGCCTGGTCAACCCACAAGCGTCGTCACCACTGCGCAAGAACAAAAGAAAAAAAAGCTCCTTTTTTAACCCTAAAATAGGATGTAAAAATGAATATGTCTGATGTGAAGTCGTCCTTGAGGTACTCCTCGAAAAAAAGTTTTTCTTACGAGAAGGAGGTATCCTCTACAAGTACGGTACTGAGGCGAATGCGTCCTTTTTTTGTTAACGTTTTCCCATCCTGTCTATAAAAAAAAGAAAACAGACTTGTCCGGCAGAATGATCATTTTCGTAGGACACTTGTGCATGACCCATCGGGGGAACAAAAAAAAAAAAGCCCGTGGCGCCTCCACCTGCTCTGCCTCTTCCACACCCATTTCACAGCCCTCCAAATAACAAAAAATCGGGATGAGATCATAAAGAACAAGGTGTACTGTCCCATCGAGCTGAAAAATGTTTACAAGTTGCTGGAGGACAGTGATCAGCTGTTGAGGAATGTAAGGAGTTCATTCTGTGGTGGTGCCCTGTGTGCATGTAATAGTAGCCGTTTGACGGCATGCCGTGGTAGCCGCTTCCGTGCATGCCGTGGTAGCCGCTTCCGTGCATGCC